AAGTTGTCTTCTATAGTACACTCATTAGAGGGGATTAGCGGTTCTGTGCCCCCGATGTTCAAGTTGCCCCTACACGGTGAGAAGTCGAGACACCATCACCTTCGGTTCTTTTTGAATTTGGGCTTACAGTGGGGGCGATACTCGTCGAGTACTGTTGTACCAGAGTGGTGATAGTTCCTTTTGACATGTCCAATAAGATGAGTTTTTCTCAAAGCAGCAGTTTATGATTCCGTGTGACTTCAAGCAGATGTAAAAAAGCCTCGGCGCAGTGTTATGAAAATGTTTGGAGCCCCTGGGGCGGCGAGCTCGGTTCTCGGGGTTTTCTCATGGGATTTTCCCATGAGCTTTTGTCGAAATGTCTTTTTTTTTCTTGGTCTTTGATGTAGAGAATTGATCACTCGTGTATGTGATCTACTGCCACTTGTGGCTGAAAAAACTAGCCGACCGTCAACTGCAGCCAATTGGAGATTAAAAAGCCTGGCACCTCCCATAAAGTTCTGAAAAGTAGTCTCTAGACGGCCAATTTGTTGCCAAGCGAGTTGGCATAGCCAACGTGTGGCTAACAGACTAAGCGTACCATCTTCCCATCGTGGAGCCCCACCGTCATCCCCCCACTGCACCCATCTACCCTGAATGCATCAAACTAGATACTCGGACTTTGGGAGCAGCCGAATGCAGTCCAAATTCTCTGAGCTGCCGGACTCTGTGTGGATATCTCAGAATGCGAGCCCCCAGTCACATAGATTAGTATTGCCAGGGGACGTCCGGCGAAGAAAAAGTGTGCTCCCTGCATCCCACATGTTCTACCTGCGGTCAGGTCGGACACTCTGAGTGTAGTCAGCGTCATACCTAGAGCCGAGTGCCAGCAGGTGCCAGTGCGTGTGCGAACGCGGTGATATTTGATGGTTCGACAATAAAATTCACCCTCAGCGCGCTCCAGAATCTTGGGGGGTACGCTACATTGACGAAAAAGTGGAACATTTTTCAACAATTTAGGGGTTACCGAGCATGATAGCCGTTAAAAAAGTCGCACTTGTAGAATGCGGCATTGTTATATCTCTTGAGTTTGCTTAGCTTTTACAGTTGTTGGATTGGTGCATGGGAGTCATTTCGGGCAACAGTTGGGAACATTTTAAGCATTAACCGTTATCTCTATTATAATATTTTATATACTATAATAGTTTATGCAATCGTAACAGGCTTATCGCAGGTAGAAACATGCAACATCTTTGACTTATGCTGCATGTGCTCAAAGGAGGGCGACCCTTTCCTCTTCTGACCTCCTTGCTGAGGACCACGTTCGATGACCTCCGGTACGCGGGAACCCTCATCGTCGGCCTGACAAGCACGCTCCCATTCCAGTTCCCATTCCAGTTGGCGCTCCCGTTCCCGTTCCCGTTCCAGTTGGCGCTGCCATTCCCGTTCCCGTTCCGCCTCAATTTCAACCCATCTAGCTCTTGCGCTGTGCTCGCCTCCCAGCGCATCAACCGCCCAACCGACGACTTGCGGGCAAACTGACAACAAAGTACACGCAAACATCTCCATATCTGCCACCACGGCGGTATCGAAGTCGCGTGAACGATGTATGACGACGCCCTCCGATGGTTCCTGCAAGGCGCATATGGAGTCGTGGTATTGCCTCGATACGTTTGCTGAGTAGATGATGTAGACCGGGGATCCTGTGGCAAGGTGGTACCGAATGACTACCATATGGGGATTGACCGAAGCCGTAGCCGGTAGCAGACGCAGCTGTGCCTGCGCCAGCGTGAGCAGATGTCCCGCAACCACGCCCTCTGCCCACCTTAGGCTGTAGTGAGCCATGTCAACCAAAGTCATCACCGGCAGTGCCTGGGCCTGTTGCTGCCGCGTGTTTTGGAAGCGGAGTATGCCTTTCGGACGCGCGGTAGCGTGACATCCAGATTTGAGGCCCAGAGGCAGCGTAAATACATCCGTGGTAGTCTTCTTCTTTCGGCCGTGACCAACAATCCCAACGCCGAAACTCTCGAACCCATAGACTTGAGAGCAAATGTAGTAGATCAGATGATCCAAGTATTTGTATGGGTTCTGCGTGCCTCCAATGGAGATAAGTCTCAAGACCTTGTTGTATGGGCCATCGGGGAGGAACTCTTCGTGGCGTGTGGTTGAAAAAGACGAACTCGCGATAACAGAGAGAAGCAGCGAAACGTTGCTCTCGTTCCTTCCTTCAACAGAAACTTCACAAGCCTTGGGTCCATCGCTGCTCGGCGTCGTGTAGTCTTTATGCTGCGTATGGAAAGTGACGTTCAGGGCGTGGATGTATGCCGGCTGCCACTTTCTGGGGGCCATTTCGTGAGCAAGTTCGCGTTCGGACAGTCCCGCAACGAGCCGAGGAAGGGGCATGGACATCGATGCGTTGTTGTTGCTGAGTGCAGTTGCTACGCGGGAGGGGGGGGGGGGGCGAGGTGGTGAGGCGTCGCAGTGTGTCGAATGGGGTGTTAGATCCGCTTCTAGTGTGAAAATATTTATGGGTGTTCGTCCGATTCAAGCCAACACCGAAAAACAAAAGCAAGTGATAGTTCAGGCATCTTGCTGCGGAAGGAGTTGGTTGGTTGATACTGAGCACGCCGGCCGTCAAAGGATTCACGCCGGCATGGCAGTGTTCTCAGTGGTTGGCCCAAAAAGCCTAGGCTGGCTTTGAAAAGGGGACCGCCGGCTACCCATCCCGGGCTGCCTGCGGGCTGCGTCGTTATGTAAACGGCACGGATTATTGCAGCGCGATATCTGGTGATGCAAAGTCTAGTCTATCTGAGTCGGGTGCCCTCCAATTGCAACAGCCAATCAGCCGGGCTTTTTGATCAGCCGGTTACAGCTCGACGCAGCCGGCCCGGGCGGCTCTTGAGAACACTGGACAGTGTACCAAGGCGGCGATGACCTGGCATTCCGTCGAACAGGCTGCCGGCATAACGATCCGCTAAGTGGAAATGCAGGGAATTCACGTCCAGCGCGAAACACAGAAGAAGAAGTAAGAGAACTAGACGGAGGCTGCAAACCTGGAAGAGTCAGTCTGCGGTGCTGCGACGCCTCGTGGCTGGTACCGAGAGATGGACGATTGCAACCTCATTAAGGCGCAGAAGGACACCGACGAACTGGATCCCGAGGGCGGCGATTACATGTGCACTGCCGAGCAGCAGCTGGAAATGGAGGCAGCGTTTGGGGACGTGGTGGCGCGACGGCGGGCGAAGCTTCTGCTACGCCGGGGCTTGCTTGAACTCAGAATGCCCGAATTGCCTGGAATGAGCCCCCAACCTCGAATGTTCCCTTGGCGGAATGTAACGAGTAGCCCGCGAAAGATGCAGTAATGGCGGCTGTTGAGGTTCTGTGGTCGGTGGAGTACACAGTTCAGCCTTTTCTCATTTCCTGTACGCGGTAATTCGTATTCTGAGAACTATGTGATGGCTGCACACGTGTACACGGCCTGGGCACGCCGTACAACATCAAACCGATGGTCTTTCATAGTCATTTGAACTTGCAGGTCCAGAGCGGTTGGGCAGGCGGCCACACTGGCAGCTTCGTTTCTGTCCTTTCTTAGATGGCTCGTTCACACACCAGGCGGTGTTTTCAGTGTTTGAGTCGGGTGTCATTTGTTTATGTGTACAGTCTCGTAGAGGCCTTGCAACTCTATCGGCTCCCCGTTCAGAAAGCGACGACGAACCCCTCGTATGGGGCTGGCGGATTTGCGAACGTCACTTCGAAACGCAATGCAGACGTCTATCAGGTGGACGTCAAAGCCATTTTGCATAGCCACAGCGACGGAGGCGAACGTTTTAATTTAAATCGGTCGACGACATGTATCTTAGTAAGAAACGGAGTTTTTTTTGGAAATGGTTATGTATGCCTTATATCAGGGTGTTTATATGACACAAGATTTCGGATTGAGCGAAAATTAATCTACGTAGAAAATGGGGGGTATCCGCACATCGCCGCTAGGCACGACTAGTAGTCCTCTTCATCTTCAGGATGATCATATCATCATCATCTACCGTCGAGTTGTGCACCTGACTGTTACCTCGCCTCCTGCAACCCCCAAAACAGAGGCGACATCAGGTAACTGGGAAATGTGGCTATGCCAAAGCTGGAAGTATATGGACAGCTTTTTCAAAAATTCAACACCACGATGGCTGATGAATAGCTCAAACACGCGATATCACTCGTAAAAATGTGCTCTCAGTGATCTCACTCGGCAGTCTGCCTCCATGTGGAAACAGCCACATATTTTGACTATGGCAACCTGATATGCTACCAATAAGGCCACAACTATCTCCGTAAGCCTAGGCTATCGTTATGGCTCTGGTCATCTTGTCGCATTGCCATGATTATAACATTGTTAATTTTGAGTATTGGTCATGTAAAGGTTTTGGTTTTCGTGATATGCGAATAACCATTGTACAATCATCATGGAGCGACCAGCCCCACAAAAAGCTCATTTTATCACGAATGCAACGACTAGTTCCGGTCGAAGCTGACCCTCCGGCTAAACACCGTTTTGAAATGCTGCTCTCACAGGATCATGGATATCGTGACTTTGACGGTGCTTGTCCCGCAACAACGCCCGCAGCTGTGCCATACAGTGTCCGTGGACTCAACAAGTTTTCGTTCTGTGACCGTGCATGCACCGCGGTTCCTGCAGTGGTGTTTATTAACTTTCGATGCGTAACGCTATAACGAGGAAGTCCCGGAAATATTGGAAGGGCGCGGACGGAATGACGAAGATACTAGTTCGTTGGATTGGTGATTTTTTCAAATACAAGAGAAAAAAATGCCCGCCGCCGGGCAGCTGGCGAGGGGGCGCGCGGTGTGGAGTCAAAGTACGATCATGAACTCTCATTTGCAACGTGGGCGATGAAGTATCCATCATGATTCCACAGGGGGTAGTTAGAACAGAGGCTGAGGGGTGCGGAAGAATTTTTGACCAGGATGGGTGAAAAAAGCCGCAAAAAAAAAAAAAAAAAAAAAAAAACCAGTGCGGACGCCGGGACTTGAACCCGGATCTTCTCATTATAGCCCACCCGCAAGTATGAGTCCCAGATCGGCAGAGCTAGAGATGCGCGACCATTGAGCCACGCCCGCTGATGGTTGCTAGACTCCTTTTTCCATCAACTACCCATCCTGCTAACATACCGTCAGTAACATCATAATTTGTCGAATTTTCGCTCCGCTCCTTTCGCTACTGATGATTCTACAGAGCCACAGTCACTACTGGAGGGGCCTGAAGCTTCCATCGTAATCTCTGGGGCGGGATTCGTTGGTACCTGCGGTGAAATTTTCTCTTCCGTCCAGAATGTTGCTGTCAAAACACATTGAGGTCACATTCCCTGATCGGAAGTATCAGGATGCTCCGTCAAAATTAGAACTCCTCTATACTTCTTCGCATTCCGCCAGATTTTATATATAGCCCTGGAAAATCGCACGAGCGGCTGACATCTCCCCCGGCAGCCTGAGGATTCGATATCCGCCAATTCGGGCACTGCAGACTGCCGGAAAGGGGCTGCTGAACCAAATTTCTACCCCGATCGGCGGGAAGAGGTGTGCACAGCCATCGCTATTCCGTGTTGTCGGTGTCCTACTCTTCATCATCCTCTCGGCTAGGTTTGCTTCTCCATATGCTGTGTACGAGGTCTTTGTGGTCGTGGAAGAATCTCATTCTTCCACCCACAGAACAAACTATCCCCGCATGAGCAGCCACCGGGGAACTACTTGGTATTAACTAGATTGCCCTGAAGTTTACTTCAGGTACTAGCGCAAATCCGAAATGTAGGGCCTATCAATCAGAGAACGGACAACAGGAGCAGGCTAAAAGTATGCGCCTGGGTGGAGAGAAGGCGAGCCAGTGGAAAAAGTACACTATTTCAAAGAGGATTCGTTGGGCTATTGTATCCTATGCCAGCTTTTAGGAGTGTCGGCCGCATCCAGGCTTCTGGCAGTGTTCCCAGTACACAGCCTCTACACCGATTCTTATGCCGCGACTTTCGAATTCTCTAGTCCAGATCGTGGGGATCGGTCTTGAAAAGGCACTGGGTAGAGTAGATACTCAACATACAAAGTACACAACAGAGCTGACGCATATAAACCGTTGTTTGGATACAAGCGCTTCAACGACAGATCAACAACACCACTACCCACCCGGTGGTGTTATGGCCTAGCAATGAAACATCATTAGGATTTAGGATTGTTGAATGTTCGGTTGTTCGTGTTTAATTTTCAGACCCTAACCCTAAGCCCTCCTCACCAGGTTTTGGCCCTAGCCAGTGCACGTACATAACAACGCCCGAACGCCTGTTCCCCTCTCATGAGCAGCAAAAACAAACACAAATCCCACAACCAAATCCACCACAAGCCCCAATTGCAGGACCACGTCCTGAACCCGCGCCCATTCAGCCCTGGTGGCAGACAAATACCGCGTCGCTTTCGCATCCCTGCCCGATTTGCTCTATACAGAAGACGGCCATACCTCATCGCAGTCCAAAAGCCAGCAGACCCTTCAACTAAAGCAGATTGAGGGATGGCCAAACTTCGAATTCTCCGTTATCGAGACCGCGCTTCCTGCGTTGCAATCAATACAAACCGTCGCCCCGGCCGATCAGGATCTGCAATACCGGCGTAACGTGCCAACCTTAGAGGACAACGTTTTTCTGGGGAATCAGCCTGATGTTGTCAGCCGATTCACCAACAGCCTGTGTTCTCTAGTGAGCAATATCAACGTGAGCACGGCGAAGGTGCGCCGCAAGTTGATTTCAATGGACTATAAGGACGTGGGTTACCCCCAGCTGGCAGGAGCCCATGTTTTCGCCATCGGGCTGCAGCACCGCATCACGGAGGCGGCTACTGAGGAGGCGGACACAAACACGCACTCGCGCATGCCAGACATCGCGATGGTGCGCACCACCAGAAACCGGTGATCGGAGAAGTCAAGACTCCTTGGACTACTGGGCTCCTCGACAGCGATGTTTTCGCGATGGAAACGGAACACGATCCGCTGTTCGCTAACCATCGCCAACGCCTGGCAAACCACTTGGGTCAGCTGGCGAGGTACATGGACGACACCAAGGTGCGCTTTTTGTTTGTTTGTAATCAGGTTTATTGTATGAGTGCGACCGCTAACGATCTTGACAGACCCACTACACGTCCCCGCCCTTATCCTGTCTGCCCCCTTATTGATGCGATCTCATGGGTCAACTGCGGTCACCCAATTGCCAGAAAGGAAAAGCGTAAAAGCGGACAAGGGAAAGGAAACAGGCGTGTAAAAACCAGAAAAGAAAACCATGGCCACCCGGGCCGAATCACTCCGCATCCTCCGATTCCTCCTCACTGGATGATGACGAGTCATCTTCCTCTGCCACGGATTGTCCGACTTGTGTATCCCGCAGAAACTGCAAGATATGCGGGGTAGCCTTTTTCTCCCTGAAAAGCTCTGCCACTGACCGCCACCGCCACCTAAGGTGCTTCCATCGTAGCTCTTTTTCCACAGAGCGCCAAAGCGCGCGAATATGTGGCAGCCACCTATCGCACTCCTTAAAGAGGTGCTCTCTTGCTTGTCGCCTGCCTGAGAGGCAAAACCAGCACTCGTCGGATTCCCTGTTGTGGAGCTTCTCCTTGAGATACGGCGCCGTGATCGCGTGACCGAGAGGAATTTAATAGTACCGGGAGCCAAGATGCGCTATGGCTTCTGCACCAACTACCATACCACTGCCTTCTTGGCTTCGGCTACTGGGTTTCAGGTGTCGCCGCCGATCCTTTCATCGACCGCCTACATTATTGGTAACTGGTCCGTTCCCAGTCTACGCATGTGTTTCGTGGCTTTGGGCATATAGGCCGACTCGGAGGACTCAAGGATATTTCCACTACGAACCGGAAAGACTTTGACCACTCACACTCCTGTCCTGCCAGCTGCAGATGGAAACATATCTTCTGGCAATTCCACCTCAATCGGGCGGTCGATTTGACTGCAATGGCGAAACAACACCGGGCAACAGTCACGTGGTATAGTTTTTTGCGGCGATCCGGACCACTTACCGCACGCCAAACGAGACGGGAACGAATGTTCGCCTGGCAGAAGTGCCTGCCGCGTCAGCTGCGGTCAGGACCGGGAATCGCTGGTCACAGCCGGGCTGCAGGCGAAAGATGTGGAGTCACTCGCCGAGCTGGCAACCCGCACTTCCAAAGTCCTGACACTAGCCGGCGCCACCCTCCTCACGGGTTCCATCATAACCGTGCAGCTCGCCGAACACTGGTCACGGCTGAAGATGGCACGTTTCTTCCACTCGCAGCGCACCAGCAGTGTCTTCCTCTGCGTCGCTATCGACGAGACCCCACCGCTTCTTCTGGTTGCAAAGCTGCGCCAGGATGTGAATATAAGGGCGCACGATCGTGAGGGTGCACTGCTGAAACTACTGCCGCGCGATGGCGACACCCCTCAATTTTATGAGCCCGGCAAAATGGACGATGGCCGCCTCGTGCTGCTGATGCACTACGTGCCGTACCTAACACTTTTCGAAAAGCCTCCCACACAAGGCGACGAAGGAAAAGAGGCCAAGTCGCAGCTGGTCTAATCGTTTTGCAACGAGATTCGGAATACAGTGATCTCGCGGCACGCCATATCTACTGGAACCAGCAGGATGGGGGGCTATGGCTGCTGGACAGGGAGGCTTTTGCAGGGAACGGCTCTGGATATTCAGATAACGCCAGAGGATGTGCTGCGGAATATTGTGCATGCGAGGTTGGAGAGCCGGTGGAATCGTGAGATGATGCAGTTGCGCGGTTGTGGGTAGCGGTTGGGAACGTGTGACGGCGTGAAGACCGAAGTTTTGCGGTAACGTCACTCGAGAGAACTCTGAAAAAATAGTCATAAATCCACCCGCACCGGGCCGCGTAGAATATACTTGCTCTGTAAAAGTATCGCTTGGTGAACAGCCCCCTCGTGCCCGTGCACAACTTGCCGAACATACTCTTCGCTTCAGCCAATGCGCTTGCATACGCACAGGAGAGGCTGGACTCGGCTTTTAGGCGCAAATCTAACTCACAAATTTCCCATGCATACACTGTCAACTCCCGCCGCTGCAGCGGTAAATCGTTTTGAGAAACCTCACGACGGCCGAGTGACTACACATGATCGTCCCAGCATCAATGGGTCCCGAGCAGAAACCTCAAGGGCCATTCAGGCTGGCCGGAGGCTACAGATATAAAAGTCCTCAATGTCGTCCTGAATCCCTCCTTTCCTCCTCATCTCCGATCCTCTAAAAGCCACCAATCCGAAAAACACGAACACAAACACAAACACAAACACAAATACCGATTGCAATGGCACCCACTCCTCCTCCCCCGTCAACTCCCGCTCGCCCGATTGCAGCAGCCAGCCAGGAGTCCTCGCCACTCTCCTCGGTCCCACCTACACCTCGCACACCTCGCACACCTGAGGTGTCCCCCGCCAAGAACCCCCGTGCCCTGCGGCCCAAGTCCACTAAGGTGGCAAAGGCCAAAGCTGCCCCCCGAGCCCGCCCCAAGCCCACCAGCATTTGTTTCTTTCGGCTGCGTGCCGTGGGAGAAGCGGACAAACGGATCCCAGGAACTTACGAGTTCCTGGCTGGCCACCAGAAGGTTCCGACCGATATCCGCCAGGTGGCCATCGAGGTGATCCTCGATGTGCCACCTGGCCTCGAGTACATCAAGTGGCCCGAGGCCATCAAAATCTCCATCCCCGGCGAGGAGGAGGATAGCGAGGAGGAGGAGAGTGAGGAGGAGGAGAGTGAGGAGGAGGAGAGTGAGGAGGAGGAGGAGAGCGTGGTTGAGGAGATGGGGGAATTCGAGGAGTGGTTGGAGGAGGACATGGGTCAGGAGAAGGAGGAGATTGAGGAGGAGGGGGATGACGAGGAGAGTGAGGAGGAGTAAAGATTGGGGGGGTATTTTTTTTTCTTTGTTTCATCGGAATACTAGCAACTGATCTTGAAAAAATCGTTATTGCGTGAAGTGGTATCATGCCATGTGTAAAGCACAGCGACCCCCCCCCCCCCCCACACCTCCCATTTTGAGCGTTCTGCAGACTTTCCTGGTGCCTAAGATGTTCGGACAGACAA